AAAAAAAAAAAAAAATATTTTTTCTTTTTTTTTTTTTAAAAGAACGAACTAAAAGAGAGAAATCTCATATTAATAAGTAATAATAATTTTTAACGATAATTATATAACGATATACTTTACGATATATATATATATTATTATATAAAAGATATATACAATATGAATTCTTCTATGAAATCACTTTTCCTTGTTATTTTATTATTAAATATATTATTAGTACCAATTGGTGCTAATGTAATTGGGATTGCAGAATTTACTAAACACATCAAGGGAGTTGCTAAATTCATTTTTGATGGAGAAATGAAAATTATAGTTAATGTTAAAGATGGTTTAGATGTGGGATTGGTTTATCCTTTTCATATTCACGAATTCCCTGTTAGAAATCATAACTGTTCTACTGCCGGTGGTCATCTTGACCCTACAAGTAAGTATGCAAAATTTTGGTTAATTTAAATTTATTTTCATTTATTTATTTTTATTTTTTTTTTTTCTAGATGCCGCTGTAGAAGGTAAATTGTATATGTGTGATCCGAACCAACCAAAAAAATGTGAAGTTGGTGATTTAAGTGGTATGTATTTATTATTTAATTAATTATTTAAATAATTTACAAAATAAAATTATTAATTAATCATTTTTTTTTTCATTTTTTAAAAGGTAAATATGGTGGTTTAATACCAAATATTAAAGGTCATGTTCATAAACAAATTAACGATCCATTCGTTAAAATATTTGGCTCATTTGGTATTAGAGGTCGTTCTATTGTGATTCATAAACCTGATTTGAATAAAACAAGACTTGATTGTGCTAATATTAAAATTGTACATAATCACAAACGTAGTCTTACTCGATTAATCTAATATTCTATATTTTTGAATTAGACATTTTTTTTTTTATTATTTTGTAAATTTTTTTTTTTTTAAAAAAAATAGTAAATAATTTAATGAATAACACGAATAAACTTATTATAAAATGCTTAAATGCATAGTTTTTGATGAATATTGAAATGTACTGAAATGTTAGGCTCGTAACTAAATTTTAACAATTCAATATAAAATGTGATAGATAACATTATTTTAGCCACAAATAAAAGTCATTGAAACGGAGTCTTTATTCCGGTACGAAGTAAATAATTTTTATTCTCAATCAAAGTACAATATCCAAAATTTAATTTAAAATTATTAAACTGATTCATCAAAAGAAACTTTTTGAAAAAAAGGAAAGGAAAAGATTAGTGGATGCTTATACTGCTTATACTGTAACTTATGTACAGTACAAGAAAGCGGAAAAGCTTATCAACTGTTGTACGTAAAAGAAATATTAATAATCTTATTTTAAAGATCGTCGTACATTTCTGTTACACGGTCTGCCCTGCCTCTATAACTGTCCGTGTAAATTTTTTCATTAAATGGACATCCTTTTTTAAGATTTATTAAAAAAAATTAGCTCATTTTTGATCATCAGTCAGATCTCCTGGTATAGTGAAAAAACAGTGAAAAGGTAAAGGTAAACACGTAAACAAAAAAATTTATTTTTGAAAGTTTTTAAATATGTTTTTGTTTATCATTTACCCAAAAATAACTTTTTCGTCTAAATTTGATAAAATTCTATGTTTCAATTTTTTTTTTTTGTTAATTATTGGTGAATTAGTCGATCATATCGAAAAAAAATATTGTCCAATGAANTTTTTTTTTTTTTTTTTTTTTTACACAAACTGATTTCATCATGAATGTTTTAAATCGTTCATACAATGTTGTAAATATTTTGAAACGAACAATTTCTCATAAGAATGATTTATTAAAATATTCATTTAATTATTATTCTAAATATTATACTACTAAAGGTCCTAAAACAGAAGAAATTACTGATACCCTTACTATGAATGCAACAACAGAAAATACTTCTGTTGATGTTCCAAATTATAGAAATACTTGGTCGAGAAGTCAAAGATCAAGATTAGATGCTATTAAAGGACCTCGCTTTGAACAAACTGATCTTGAAGCACAGGTTACATTTTAAAAACAATCTTTTTTTTTTCAACATTTTTATATACACGTTTTTTTTTTAAAAAAAAATTATTATTATTATTTTATTTAGCCGAGGCCATTAGCAGCAATTGATTTAATCGCTGAAGAACCAATTCGTTATGTAGAAGGAAGAGTTGCCGTTTGTCATGGAGGTAAAATTTTTTTTTTAAAAAAATACATATATATTTACATATACACCATAATTTATAATTAAATTATTTTTTTCAGGTAAAGGTGCTTTAGGACATCCACAAATATATATAAACCTGGTAATATATTGTTATTTGTTGATTTTTAAAGTTTATTTTTATTTTTTAAAAAAAAAATAATTTAATTATTAAAAACTTTTCACCTATTTTAATAGGACCATCCAGGAGCTCATGCTTGTGGTTATTGTGAGTTATTTTATTATTATTATCATTATTATTATTATTATTATTATATTTTCTTTTTTTGTATATATTTATACTAATCTTATATTTAAATATATTTATTAGGTGGTATAAGGTTTGAACAAAAACATCATTAATATTCTTTAATATTTATAACCATTATTATATTATTATTATTAGAAAAAATTTAACTATAATACTTAGTTGATTTATTAGACTTTGTTGATTTTTTTTGAAAAATAAAAATAAAAATAATCATTTTTTATTTTAATATATATAAAAATATTCAATCTAAAATAACTATTATATAATAATTGAACAAACCGATATTGTAAATAATATATAATTTTACTTTTAATTTGAGTATTTTTTTAATAAAAAACCAACCAAATAATCATATAAAAAATAAAATGAATATGCCAAAAATAAATAGATAGATAAATAAAAATGTAATAAAATAAAAAAAAAAATAGAAATAGAAATAAGAAATAATAATAAACTGATAGCCTAAAATAAAAAAACAAAAAAAAAAAAGATAAAAAATATAAAATATAAAATATATAAAAGGACATCCTATCTTATTTTTACACAGAATTACAAAATAATCATTATCATTAGAGAGAAGATGGTGTTAAAGGAAACTTCAAATTTTAGATACTATTTTAAACCCGCCCTTAATTAAAATAATATCTCAAATTACTGTGAAAAAAATGTCTAGTGAAATTTTTATTATTTTTGCTGTTTGGCTTGCCCTTTTTTACCTTAAGTATTTAATAAATAACAACAATAATATATATTAATTACTTGATATAAAGTAATTAGAGTAACAAACTGATGCAAGTTATAGAAATTCACCTCATTTCATGGAAATTACACCAAGTCTCCCAAACCAAACAGCGTGTTTTATTATTTTCGATCTATTAAAAGGAAAGGAAAATAATTATATTCAAAAGTTATCAGTCAGTTTTTTTGAATACAAGAAAACATCAATTATTTACCGATCAAAAGCTAAATCAATGAATAACAAAGGGAAGGACAGGCGGATTATTAAACAAAATTGGGTTAAGTTCGTAAAATTAACTTGCTGTTAATATGCGCCGGACAAAAATTATTGTTCTTTTTTTTGTGATGTAAACTTTTGGAATCATTATATAAAATTATCTGTTGTTTTTTTAGTTCTCTTTTTTGAGGTTCAATTGTTGATAAGATGAAGGTATAAAATAATTATTAAGATCTGCGTTTTGTCAAATATAAGATAGGTACATAAAACTAAGGGAAAAAGTCGAAATTTCAGAACTTTAAGCCTCACACCAATCTAAAAAAAAGACCGTTACAACCCCACAAAAGGTACAAAAAGAATGTTAATAAAAAGGTAAATGAAAAAAAAGCAAAAAAAAAGAATGAATATAAAAAAATGTTCAATAAATGATACTAAGACGCAAACTAGTCGCGCTGGATCTATTCAAAGAATATATATATATATATATATAATAACAAAAAAAAAGGAGAAAGAAAAACAGTACAACACATAAAAATAACATATTAGAAATACATTATGTTACATAAAATCGAAAAATTCTGGATCATCAGAAAACCGAAAAAACATAACCCACCCGAGACCCACCAAAAATCTCACCTAATGATAATTCCGCTATTTGAAATTATAAGGAATTCACAATTATTATTTTTTATCGCCGCCTTCTACACTACTATCTTTATCACTACCACCATCAACATTTAGTTTCTTTTGGACTAATTCGCTCAACTCATCTGCAGCATCGTTGTTGCTCTCTCCAGAGTTAGAAACTTCTTTGTTGGCATTTTCTGACTGATTTGTGACTGCTGGTACAAGAGTCGCATGTTGTCCTTCTGATCCTGGATGTTGTGATAATACTGGTCCGGGATAAAGTGGTTGAAAATATCTTGCTGCATATTGTGGACCGAATGGTGGGGAGATCGAACCAGGTGGATAAGCACTAGGTAAACAAAGTTAGATAATATGTTAGTAAGCAGGAGGAAAAAAACAAAAATAGAAAGAATTATTGCATAAAATAACCTTACCCAGCGGGTTGAACACCTTCTGGGAAATACTGAAGATGAAAAGCTCCTCCTGGTGGTGAACCAGCGGCCATTCCCAACATATGTTCGGGTGTGACAGGAACTTGTGACATAATTCGCTATACATGATATATGTTTTGATTGTTAAAAAATGTCAATATACAGAATTGTCAAAGGTTTATAAAATTCACTCACTCCGCCTAATGATGCGAATTCACGTGCTTTCCACATCCGTTTTCTAGCAGTTTGTCCTTTCAATTTCTTCTGTTCCAATGAATCAGCAAAACGAACTTGCAAAGGTAAGTTTGCCCCAGGAAGTTGATATCCATTGAACTTTTGAATGATAGCTAAAGCGGAATCCCGATCTTCCATTCTTAAATAGTATATTTTCAAAATTAATGAAACATTTAAATTTACAAATTAAATTCATTAGAGAAACGCTGTTCACTTCATTAACTTCGGTTTTTTAATCGAGTTTCTGTTTCCAGATCAACCCGAGTATAATAGGATCTGCGGAAATCAGCCAATTATTAGTTGCACAAGACGTAATATTACGAACAATTCCTGCTTTGTTCGGTTGTCTATGCAAACGTGGCATTTATTGGATAAAATTCACAGAACCGGTTTAATTCGGGTTGATCCAAAACGATTAACATAATAAATAGCCCGAATAAAATGAATTGATAGAGCTTTCAAATACTTTGATAATTCTAATACTGCATTGCTTAATAGTCTGTAATAAAAATACCTTGCGAAACCAACACCACGACTTGCTCCGTTGGTATCCCTGAGAATTCTGTTAGAAACTACTTTGTAAGGCTTGAATATTTCTTCAAGTTGCTATTAACATAATAACAAGCATGTAACAGTTTAACAATTTAATAGTTTAAAAGTTATGTCATAAACAAATAATATATTTGCTCTAAATAATAGATCAAACCTGTTCATTCATATCCAATGGTAAATTTGACAAATATATATTTGTTGAAGCCAAATCCTGAAGATTCTTTAGCCTAGTGCTAAAAGATTCCTATTAAAATTAAACAAACCAAAAAGTTATTGTTGAAATTGCAAATTAATCACAATTTTGGTAATATTATTAGTAATATATATAATTTAATAAAATAACCATAAACGAGTATAAGAAAATTACAATCATGCTGTTACACTCACATAACCAACCTTAGCGAAGGAAACTTGCAATCCCACTCGCGTTAATTGATCAATGGCATGCTTGGCTTGATCTTCAGTTTCGTACATCACAAACCCGTAACCTTTACAATCACCTTGTTTTTGATCGATAATAGCTTTTGAAGAAGTAATGTTTCCATATCTATAGTTAAATTAAAAAAAATATATATTTCAGATCTAGAACCTAATACTTTATAAATCATATCTAATGAAAAACGTATATGTATATAACACAATAAAAAAAATTAATTCAATTCCTTTACAAAACAAAAAATTGGTAAATAATTATAATTTGCATATTAGTTTAATATGTAAATTTCAACTATCGCTTAAACAATACATATATTAAATAATTATTTGCAGAGATTAAATTTTTTAATGAGGATTTGAGCTACTTACATGGAACACATCGAATGTAGGGATTCATCAGTAGTGGTAGGCGGTAAACCACGAATATAAATATTAGTAGTCTTTGTAGGATTACTAAAATTCGGAAGGGCAGGAATCTGATTAGAGCCAGAATTTCTTCTACCATAATTATAGTGAGGTTGAGCGCGATTAATTCCTCGACCATTATTACTATTTAAAGGACCAACTTTAGGTGAAGGTACTCCTGGACCGGGTAAATATGTAGGGGGCGGAGAATTAGGAGCAGAAGATGAAGTATGTGAAAGTGTAGGTGAAAGTATGTGCAAGTTTCCATAAGGAGATTGCGGTGAATACAAATATGGATGCATTGTAGGTGAATGAATTAGTCCGGTTGGACCAACTTGAGGAGACGTGGGATAATAAGCTATTGTAGGGCTAGTAGCAGCAAAATAAGGACTCAAAGGCTGTGGAGGTAGAGACGGTGAAGCTTGACCTTGGAGAGGAGGTGATCCAGGATAACCAGCACCATAATCAGAATAGAATTGGGAATATTGTGGATGCATTCCATATTGACCATACGCGGCAAAAGCGTTAGGATCACTAACATCATATCCTGCAGCCATAGCGGCCTGGTATGCCTCGGCAGCGATAGCAGTTTGTTGGTCTACGTATTGAGCCCCACCATTGGTATAATAAAAATTTGGAGTCGGTGATAAAGGATGAGGAGCAGTAGTACTTGGGGTTGTGTTCGAATTATATTCTCCATGCCCAGTTGGTTTCCCGTTATCCTTTTTTTCGGAGTTAGTCTCCTTTGAATCGTTTCCGTTTGAAGAAACATTCGTGTTGACATCGATTTGTTTGCTTGTTTCCGTAGACACGGAGTTAGAGTTATCCTTTTGCGAAGTCATTATTATATTTTTTTTTAAGTCTTTTTGAAAAGTATATATATCAAATGTTAGGTAACAAAATACGAGTAATCCGTTATAACCTAGATGTGTTTCCACTAAAATTATCTTGTTAAGACTCTTTAAAAAACTCTTTACGAAAAAAGAGTTATGGGTCCCTTTTCTTTTTATGAAAATTGAATCAAATCGATGATCAAAAATTTAAACAACCAGATCGATGTTAAAATAGTAATAATAACCACTTATGTCCGTCACGGATATTTTTTTAAAGTCGTCAAACTCTAACAAAAAACAACACCGAGCTTCCTTGGACGGTTTAGTGGCGGGTCGTCCACTGAATAGAGAAGTGGGGGCTAACTGAAGTTATGTGTGGGGACGTTAAATCGGAGCCCACCACAGTCAGTGGAAAAAATGTTGCGTAAAATTCAATAGACGATTAATGTTTGTATTTTCTTCTCGTGAACTGTGGCGTTTTTTATTTACTATATAAAGTACGATTACTATATAAAGTACAAGTGTAAATCCTTTACTGCGTCAAATGTTATAAAAGAACCCTTATTGAATAATTCACTTTATGTGTAACATTACATTTATAAAAATTTTAAGCTAACAATGCAATTTATCGTTAGACAAGATTGTTGATATGGCTATAGTTGGAAAACTTAGTATGGTAATCATATATTTTTGAAATTATTATATATGTAATGCATTAAGATTAACTTAAGATTAACTCTTTAGTAATATTACTTATACATTTAATTGGTAAATGTCTTATATAAGTAAATCCATACCAAATGATTTGTAATTTTTACTTTTAAGATTGGCACTAATTATTTAAAATAGTCTTTATAAATCTTGACATTTCAATATTAATATTAATTTTAAAAGTTGTTAATTAGTATTAATTCGTGATCCGTTTCAGAACCAGTGAAAGGTACTAATATATATTGGAGAACTATTATAGAGATTAATTATTTCTTAAATAATTTTTTCGTGCAAATTTATCAAAATTTTTTTAAACAAAAATGTTTGAAATGTTTAAAAAATATAATAAAATTTTAATATAGTCTTTGTAACTGTTGTATCTTTAGGCAAATTCAACATCTATACATTATTAAGAGTTAGGGCTGGAATTTGACATTGCTAAAGAAAAAATTTTTTAATTAATTGTGCTATGACAAAAATATTGTTATATTTAAATTTTTGTAATTTTAAGCCATCATTTACATTACTTTTGGATTAAAAATCTTCAAATAATTTTAGCTCAATTCCAATTTCAAATTTAGTTATAATTTGTTATATTTGTAAATGTGTGATTTCTCACCATCTAGTAATCCTATAAGGATAAATTATAGCTCTTTGGAATCCTCTCATCATTAAGAATTGAATGGTAATAATTTCATATTTCTATCATTGATATATAACTGGTTAATAATATGTTAATATTAAATAATTGCAAATTATTGTGTTTTATATTGATCATAGAGATATAGAATTACCTCCATTCAATTCGTCATGATGAGTGAATTTCAAAGAGCTATAATTCATCCTTATAAGATTACTAGATGATGAGAAATCACATATTTACAAATATAACAAATTATAACTAAATTTGAAATTGGAATTAAGCTAAAATTATTTGAAGATTTTTAATCCAAAAGTAATGTAAATAATTGGCTTAAAATTACAAAAATTTAAATATAATTAATTAAAAAATTTTTTCTTTAGCAACGTCAGATTTCTTCTAACCCTTAAAAATGTGTAGATGTTGAATTTTTTCAGAGATATAACAGTTACAAAGATTATATTAAAATTTTATTATATTTTTTAAACATTTCAAACATTTTTATTTAAAAAAATTTTGATAAATTTGCACGAAAAAATCATTTAAGAAATAATTGATTTACTATAATAGTTTCCTGATATGTATTAGTACCTTTTACTAGTTCTGAGATGGATCCCGAATTAATTTTAATAAAAATATAAATGTTAACTAGAAGTTATCAAATTTACATATGCAATACTTTTAAATATATATTAAAAAAAAATATTACTAAATCCTTTTATTGCATTAGTATTAATATAGAGTTTTACATTTTAATTCTACCTAAATTTTAATAGAAAAAAGTAATATCAAATACCATCAAGTATATTTTTAAACATTAGTTACATAATAATACATTTAATGTATTATTATAATGTATTATTATAAAATAAAAAATTTTAAGAATTATTTAAATGTTTTTATTTGAAAGAATTGAATATATGATCATAATTATCAATTTATAGCAAATAAGAAAAATTTGATAATAAAAAAATATTTAAAAAACTAGTTAAATTAATGATTCAAATGAAAAAAAAAATTAAAGAATATGAAAAAAGTAAAAAAAATAAGATACTTTAAATATTTACATTATTTTTTTAGTTTATTATTTGATAATAGTCAAAAATATTAAATTTTTAAAAAAATGTTAGCTGAAATAGATCTCCATTCTATTAGGTAAATAAATTAGTATATTTTTATTTATTAATTCATATAATTTATAGGTATTTGCATATTAGAGATAAAGATTAATTAACTAATCTGAATATGGTTTATAAAAATATAGTTTATTTTATAAGAGTTATTGATACTTTAAAATGGAATAGTCCTATAATTACTATGACAAACTGCATAAAAGTATATGTAAAATTGGCATATCCTTAAGAATTAAAATTAAAAATTCGATCATAATACCATGATGATCTTATCAAATTATACATAAAATAGCTTATTTGAAAGATAGAAACCTATAGATTTTATTAATAATAAATTAATATGGAATTTATTTTAGTAATTTTTCTATAATTAAACTTATAATTATATTTTTCTTATTTAAAAATTTTTTATAATTATTTTAGAGTAAATTTATATTTTTTTTGCATAAAATACTTAATATTATTAAAAAAATTTTTTCTATTCGTAATTTTCCTATTTATCTTAATAAAATTTGAGAAATTTTTAGTGAATTTGCATCCATTTTTTAATTTATGAAGTTCATGTCAAATTTTGTCTTTAAAATCAACATTTATAGTTAATTTTCTCAAAAAGTAAAAATGTACTAGAGTTCTAAATAATGTCAAAATATAGCCCCAATATTCAAGTTTATTTTGCATTTTAAATGATAAAAATTGGCTTTGTTTTAAGTAAACTACACACATTTTGTAATTTGAATCATTTATTAGCATTTTTTACTATATTCTGAAATTGTGGTAATTTTAAGAATAAAACTCTTATCATTTTATCATAAATGTTTATTTACTGCAAATTTTTTGATATTTATTTTTTGGCATTATTCTTAATAATATTTGAGTATTTTAAATTAAATCTAATCCACCAATGGTTTATAAATGTAATTTAATTTTCTGTTATATTTTTTAATTTGAAATAAATAATTATTGCTGATTTTTTCAAATGATAATTAAGTGTTTATAATTTTAAAAGATATCAAAATTAAAGCTCTGAACGGGTCAGTTCAGTGCAGTTTTTTTCCAGTTCGGGTAAGAACTGAAACCAAATGAAAACTGAACTGGAACCATCCAGTTTGGTTCAATTCTATCCAATTTTAAGAAAAAATGTGAAAATCGAAATAACTCGGCAATCAGTGATCGTATAAAGATGAGCAATAGCTCATTAGAATCGTCTCATCAAGACTCGTTGAATAGTGGTAAGATCATCTCTTTAGCCTCGATATATCATGAGATAATCAATGCTAAACATTTTTTATAAAACTAGCGATAAAATCGTATCTATTGATCCTAAAAAAATGATCTTAGCATCATTCGGCCTTTTTTTATATTTTTATGATTACTACATAACGAGTTATCTTAATTTTCACATTTTTTTAAATTTTTAAACATCAAAAAATAAAAATTCCGATCTAAGATATAACCCATTTTCTACTGATTGTATTGGAATGATCTTTAGCTCATTAGAACCGACTTAATGAGATGAGTTGAATGATGGTAAGATTATGTCTCTAGCATCGGTATATCATAAGATAAATTATGCTAAGCAATTTTAGAAAATCAGCATTAGAAAGATATCTATCTCAATGCTAGAAACATGATCTTACCATCATTCAACTCATCTCATTGAGTCGGTTCTAATGAGCTAAAGATCGTTCCAATACAATCAGTAGAAAATGGGTTATATCTTAAATTGGAATTTTTATTTTTTGACGTTTGAAAATTTAAAAAAAATGTGAAAATTAAGATAACTCATTATGTAGTAATTATAAAAATATGAAAAAAGGCTCATTAGATTTGTCTCATTAAGACCTATCAAATGATGCTAAGATCATTTCTCTAGGATCAATAGATATGATTCTATCACTAGTTTTATAAAAAATGTTTAGCGTTGATTATCTCGTGATATATCGAGACTAGAGAGATGATCTTATCACCATTCAACGTGTCTCGATGAGACGATTCTAATGAGCTATTGCTTGTCTTTATACGATTACTGGTTGCCAAGTTATTTCGATTTTCACATTTTTTCTTAAAATTGGATAGAACTGAATTAAACTGGACGGTTCCGGTTCCAAAACCAAACTGAGAACCAAACCGAATTTTTGGTCAGTTTTGGATCAGTTCCTGGTTCAAACTGGAACCATTCAGAGCTTTAATCAAAATGTAGCTTTGAGTCAGGATCCTGCCTACTACTAAAATATGTTACTTGTAGAAATTTCATTTTTATATGAAACCTTACCTTAGGATTTGCTTAAATTCTATTGGTTAATTAACTAAAAAGGAAAAAATCATAATAATGTAACATAAAATTTTCTTTTATAGTAATATCTTCAAAGAGTTTTATATGTAAACTTCACCTTAGGTCACAGGATGACCTATTTTAATAGTAGGCAGGGTCTTCTTGAGTCTCAGATTTATTATACAATTTATATAATGTAAATTAAATTTATTTGGGTGTATAATATGCATTTTTATCATATGAATAGTTTTCCAGTTTTTTTTGTGAAAATACTACTTGATTACTTGTATTACAATATATGATAATATTCATCAAATTATTAAAGATATTAGAAAAAAAAATATTATTACATTATAAGTACAATTTATTTTGTTAAAGGTAATTAGAAATAATGTTATTAAAATTAATAAGAGTAATCAAAAATTCTTTTTTATTATAGATTACAATTACAAAAATTCCTCTTATAATTATTTTTTTATTACTAATAAAAGGATGGAACTAATAAAATTTATAATTTATTATATAATTTGGTGCAAATAACAATTTAATAAGCTGATTTGAAATTGATTAATACTGTACATATCAGATGGACATCTAATAAATTTAAAGCATAAGTTGAATTGATAAAAGGATTTAAAACAACAGAATTTTTACAATATTAAGATGATTTTTATAATATTAAATTTTTAGCATCTGTTTATAAAAATACCAATTATTAGAGTACAAGATCCTAAACATGCTAAAAAAAATGGTCAAAATAATATTCATAGTAAAGTAAGATTATTAATTTTTGGTAATAATACAGTTAGATATAATCAAATTTTTTCTTTTGCCAAATTCAGCATTTTATATGAAAGATGTAATAAATGTTGACAAACAAAACAATAGAGCAGCTTTTAAATTTTTTAGTTCAGCTATTTTGACATAATATCAAAAAGATGGTAATATTGAATCAGAAAGATTAGTTTTATTTGTTTATTTGTTTATTTTTTGGTAAGTTACTATTTATTTTCAAATTTATTTATAAATAAAATAATTAACTGTATTTTCTTTAAAATAATAGGCGAACTTTTTAATGTTTATTTAAATCATATCATTTTACATAAATCAAGTAATGAAGTGTTATTTCTTTTACAAATGTGAAAAGAATATTTATTACAATGTAATGAATATATTAGAATAAATGGTATTTAATATTTAAACCATGCAAAGTTTTAAGATATTTACTAATTTAGTAGAATCCATAGTATTATTAATATTGGCATATAGAAAATATTATTTAACCTTTTCTTTTTTTCCTTGGGAACATGGTACTAAAGCTATTGAACATGTTTTTGGACTTGCTAGACAAATTGTGCCAGATTTTACTTTAATTTATAAATTTATATAATTAATTTTCTTTAAAATTTAGGTTATATATTTTTGATATTGATGATAATATTTTATCTCAAAATGAAATTGAATTATTAGGATGCTGGCCAAGTGATGATGATATTGGTGATGCTATAAGAATAGCATATATTAATGCGTCTTCATTTATGAATTTACTTAGAATTAAAAAAATTATCAGATTTGAATGAGAATGATGATAACAAACACGATAATTTAGAACTAATAAATGATCAAAATCAAATTAATAATGCAACGTCCAAAGTTATAAAGTTATCAAAATTAGATGAAAATTTGAAAATATTTGATACTATACAAAGTAATGATGATGATAAAAGTAACAGTGAAGAAAGTGAAAATGAAAATGAAAATAATACAATAGATGATTCATGTTTAAATTTTATAAAAGCAACTGAAATACTGAAATCCAATACTTATTAGAGAATAATCAACCAACTTTCATTAACTAACTAAAAAAGAACTGGAAGAAATTTTTTAAAAAAAATAATTCACCTGATGTTTATCAAATTCTTAATATTAGAAGATCCAGATAGAATTGATAGCCTGGTATTAATTTAAACGTTGGTTCTAATAATAATGTTGACAGAAATACTGCAAATCATTTAATTACTCAATTAAACAGGCAGTCAATAATAGAACTAACAGATGGTTAGGACGAAAAAGAATGGAGAATATGATAAATAATCAAAATATATTAAACAGTTAAGTATAATAGGCAATTTATTATAACAATTTTAAAAATAATAATAATTTTTTATTTTAAATATCGACTGTACTAATATTTCCAAAAACAATCCTTTGGAAAAAGATGAAAAGATGGATTTTTGATTAGATGCATTGTTATATATAATATCAGAATCTTTATTTATGGATGTTTATAATGGATTATTTTTTACAAACGATTGCCAAATAGGTGGAAAATTATTTGCGCATATTATCTCTAAAGAAGTGGTATATTATTTTGGAAAACCCGATACAATTACTTTTCAAAATAATTCTATACTTACTAAGCTTTACAAATTTATGATTTTTTTAATAATTAAACAACTTACCTTAATTTTTAATAGTTAAAATTAATATACATAAAACATTTTATAGATATATAATAAAAAAATCAAACTTTATACTATCTATAATAAGGGTAAAACTGATAAGAAAAGCATTGACCGAGCCCTCTTCTCCTTACTGAGTTTTTTGAGACTGAAAGTACTACATTAAAGTGCCTCCAGAAGTGTTTTAGCAGATAAGCTCAAATGTGATTCTCTGTTTACAATTTCGATAGCCATTTGCTTGAGTCTTTGAACTTCTGAATTTGATAGAAATTCTTGCGCACAAGAGTGTTTTGGGCATGGAGAGACATTCTCTGTTCTGAGATCTATGACACTCCAATACAGCGGGTTATAATTTAAATACGTGTTAGTGAAGGATTCAAAAGATGCAAAATAGGTTAATTTGTACTTACGTCATCAAACAGGCTATTTGATCTTATCGCACAGCCTTAATTCCCACTATCAGTTTATCATAAAGTATTGTTGGGTCATCAATCTTGAATGGTGAAGAAAAAAGAGTTAATAAGAAACTAAAAAGCTACAAAATAATCATGATTTAAGGACCTACTCCTTCATTTTCTTCTTCATCTTCCTGACTTTTCGTTCTTTTCTTAGATTTTTCTGATACTTCTAATAGATGATTAATACCGAAAGTTCTATTATTACTTGTTCCATTAATTATGTTACCCAAAAACTTGGGTTGATGAAAATGAATCGAAGTCCCGTCAACTACATTTCTTGACTTTTCCTTCTCCTTCCGCCATTTTCTTGCTTCCTTATAGTCTGGTTTCTTACCCTTAGAGAAAAAAAACGTGAAAGATTAATAATATCTTTAATAAATAAATAAATAAATATCCACTGGTCATTTCACAGACTTGACATCAAATGTAACTTGCAGTTTATTTGGTGTACCAGCGGTACTAGCACTAGGAAATCTTGCAGATTTGAACACAAAGAAATTTGCAGTTTGCTCTGCGCTCCAGACTGGCTTTGTGGTTTGTCTCGCAGACTTGAATGATAGAAATCTCACAGATCCTCTATCACGCCACTTTACACTAAACTATCATACTTGCCTTTTTATACTGATCCAGCAAGAGCTGAGCTTTACCATGTCTCTGATTTAATTTTCCCTGTCCGATAATGCTTTTAAGAGACAGGCAATAAATTTCGATTTGTCTTTTAAAATGTTTTTCCTTGATTTCATCCAAGAACCCCAAATATTCCACTCTGTATATTCTCGCTTGAAGTATTTATGTATTGCGTTGTCATTTATGTCCAATCGTCCATTATATTTTAAAATCTTATACCGTTATACGTATCCGTTCAAAGTTTAAAGTTAAAATATGTCCAAATAGGATCAAAAGCACATTTTCGTGTTCATATAGGAGGTTGAACGAATCAGATGATCAGATGATCACTTTCACATGATGATAATAGGTAAGAGTAGTGTAGTATCAACCACTTGTATGAATTCCGGGAATAATGCTAGGAATGAACTGATGATCAGTATGATCAGTAGTTAGTATGGTGCATAACATCTAAAGGCATCAAATAAAATTAGTGATTTTAAAATATTAACTACTTAATAAAATTTTATGATAATTAAAAATATAAACTGATAATATTATACTTTAAGTTCTTCTCTTTCAAATTATCGGATTATTTTTTCCATAACTGTCATATTTCAGGAGCTATTAAGATTTAAAGTTGATGTATTTTCATATTAATTTATATAATTTTATATGTAAATGGGAAAAATTCAGAATTTTTAATCACGTGAAAATGATTTTAACCAATCATATTAATTTAATTTATAATACATAAAATGATCAAATTACCAAATTTAGTAATAATCTAACTTTATTTAGTAATAATCCAACTATATTTAGTAATGATCGGCATAAAAATAAATTTCGGATTATTGATGCCTTTAGGTGTTATGCACCATAGTAACACCAACAAATTTTCTACCCCACGTGACCTAAAAATATTACAAGCTAACAGATCTGTTTGATAATAATAAAAAAAACTTATTCTTTTTATAAAATTTAATGAAAAAGAACTTTATTCAATAAAATAAATTCTTGCTCTTTTAATATTTAACATGTTTAACAAAACAACATGCTCTTTTAATAAATTTGTCTACGATACAACAGAGAAAATTGATATGGTGGTACAAGATCATTATGATAGCAGGGGTGCTCTTGGGGTTAAAGTTGCGATAATCTAATCTTTTTAAAATGTTATTTATGGCGAAACTTTCACAAAAATTTCACATATTAAAATCATTTTTTACTACTACATCGAAAAATTTAAATCAAAGCCAAGCTTACCAAATTTTGTTTTTCGGATCAGATAAATTTTCTGTAGCATCATTAAAAGCGTTAATAAATGAATCAAGTATGTTAAACATAATTTTACCACTCATTAATTCTGATTATTTATAAATATATTATTTTATGTGAAATAGAAAATCCGGAGACTTTTGTAAAGTCTATTGAAGTTGTGGTACCACCCGACAAAAAAACTGGTAGAGGATATAAAGAGATAACATCAAGTACGTATAATTTTATTGAATTTTACATAAAATTTACCCGAATAAAATTAAAATTAACTGTCTTATTTAAAGGTCATGTGAAAATATTTGCTCAAGAACATGATTTGAAAATTCATGAAGCACCACCAAAATCATTAGAAGGATGGAAGGTAAAAAAAAAAAGAATTAATTCTTATTGTACAAATCAATCTAATAAATATTTGAATTCTTTTAAAGATTCAAACTCCAACAAATTATGATATCGGCGTAGTAGTTTCATTTGGATATTTCTTAACTCCTTCTATATTAGAATCATTTAGCAAAGGCGCGTTAAACGTTCATCCATCTTTATTACCAAAGTAAGTTACTAATAAATTATTTCTCATAACCTGTTATATATTATATAATTTTTACTTTAAATAATGTATATATATATATATATTGAAAGATATCGAGGAGCATCACCGATACAATATGCGATTTTAAATAATGATAAAATAACTGGATTAACAATTCAAGAATTACACCATGAAATATTTGATGCTGGAAAAATTCTTCGTCAAATAACACATGTATGGCATATTGTCGTTTTTTTTTGTTGTTATCATTAATTTGATTCATATAATGTACGTTAATTACTTAATTAAGTTCATTATGATAGGATATTCCACAAAATTCAACTTATATCACACTTGAATCTCTTCTTGCTACAAAAGGAGCAGAGTTATTAATCAACACTTTAAGAAATTTTAATTATTATAAAAAAAATGCGAAAGAACAAGATGCCTCGAAAATTACAAAAGCTCCAAAAATTAAAAAAGAAATGAGTAAAATTAAGTGGTCACAAATTTCTGCGCAACAATTAGAACAACTATATCGTGCTATTTCACACCAGGTAAGAGAAATCATTTTGGATTAATGATTGAGCGAAATTATTCTCTGTTAAACAATTTTATTTTTTTTATTATTATTTAAGTACCCGTTATCAACCAAATTCAACAATAAGATCATTCAATTACATAACATTTCATTACCTTCTGTTTCTCAACACTTATTAATTCAACCTGGTAAATCTCTTGAACCTGGAACAATTATAATCCATTATCCCAAACAATTGTCACCAATTGTTTATGCAATATGCGCTGATGGTAACGTTATTACATTTAATAGTGTTAAAGTAGAAGGAAAAAAGGAAGTCTCAACTTTAGATTGGATTAATGGATATCAAGTTAAAAGTAAAGAAACGAAATTTGAAGAATGAACTATGTTCATGGAGCTGGTTTTGAGTGAAAGTCAAAAATATGTCGCCTAATATCTAACCATTTTTACACTACGTTAAAAAGGATATACCGGATATACCATAGTAAGCATAGATTATCAGATGCCAATATAATATAAAAATTGACATACAATTTGCTATTTTGCAACCAAACAAATAGGATAAATTTATTACTAAGCTAATTATATGATCTTATTAAATTTGCTTTCACAAATCATTGTGGTTAAGAAGAAATTATCGAATATTGTAATTTAACAATTCAAGTTATTTCCTGACATATTATACTAAGCCCTTTTATTAAGCGTACAGTACTAAGCCTCCTTGTCTCTAAGCCTCCTTCTTCAATGTCTCCTTTTACCTTTGTACCAAATCGTGGCTTTTTTTTTATTATCGTTTCAATTGATGATAAAATCGTAATTTATCCAAATCAGATTTCGACAAAAAAAAAATTGGGATAACGTAATTATTACTAACAATAATCAAGAAACAAGTTTTTTTTAAAAAAAATATGTAATAAAATTTATATCGTGTCTGTTGTATAAAAAATATTTTCTTTTTTTCTTTTTTCATTTTTCATTTTTTTTTTTTTTTAAAAAAAAAATCCACTTCAAAAATCAATTAAAAGATGTCCTCACAAACATCTTTTCTTCAGGATAATTCATTACAGCTTCCGGCAACTGCATATTTCACGAAAATCAATTATGATGCAACTACACAATTTAACAAATCTATCGCATCTCAAGAAGAACCAACAATAAATGATTATATAAAATATAATAAAAATGTAACCTTTTCTTATCATCCATATTTATATAAATTTCAACAGGGACCACTTGGAGAACATGATAGTTATTTAATAGGATTATTAAATTTAAATTTTCTTTCCTTTTCTTCTTCAATAAAGATTAATAATATTTATTTAAAGTTTAAAGGAAGAGAGAAAGTTAAATGGATGGTTAAGGATGGACCCAGGAGTAAAAGAGTTTATGGAGAAGAGCAAATTTTATGTGACGTTAAATATAAAATTTGGGAGTCAACAAGATCGAATAACAATGGATCTAGATTGATTGATTTATTATCACCAAATGGAATTAATGGAATTAATGGAATTAACGAAAGTGATCCTATAATAAGGATACCATTTAAAGTGAAATTACCATATAATTTACCGAATAATTTTGAAACAGACATTGGTAATGTAGAATATACACTTAAAGCCATAATAAATACATCAAATGGTATTGGGAGTGGAAATGGAATTTCGGCTACCGGTGGAGCATTATTATCTACGATATTACAACAGCAACATATTAGTGAAATCAAAATTCCACTTAAATATACTTTAATTTTGAATAATGATAATAATCCTCCATATATTATGCACGGAGAGAAAACTGCTAATAGGAATAGTGTTATTACCAACACTAACATGCCTACAGTATTGAATTATACGATGGTGTTACCACCAAATAAGAATATTAATATTGGAGTGTATATTTCGATTCCAATTCGGATTAGAATATTAGAGCCTGGAGTAAATTTGGAGAGAATTGAAATTATGTTAAGAACATCAAAAGATTTCAGAACAAAAAATAGCGAATCAAGGCATATTAAAGAAATTTCTAGTAAAATGATTATACCACGTAAAAATATTAATTTTATAAAATCAAAAGATAACAACAAAAAGAAGAAATATATTGAACATGAGAGAGTTGATGGAGAATGTATTCAAAATATAAATTTTTATATACCAAACGATACATTACCAACATATACTGGTCGCTATATTACTATTACTCATCAATTATTGCTAAACTTTTGTTTGTTATATACAAATCAAAAAGGTCAAATTAGTAGATTAAACGATTTCATTGTTGAAGAACATATTACCGTCTCAAATATACAGAAAAATTTTAATATTCAATTACCAAATGTTCCATTACCTCCAAAATTTTTTAATCCTAAGCAATTTACTAGCACACAATTTACAAGTAGTATTGATAGTCTACAATCCTTAATTCCTAAATGTAATTTCACCAGTAACTCGAGCAAAAGTAGTGATAGTAGTGGTAGTAGTAACGATAGTTTAAGTATGGATTCTTTATATTATTATTCTCGTCCTGCTTCTTCTTTATTTTCTTTACATTCAATTAATTCTACTCCAAATAATGCAATATTACGCGTATTTTCCACTCGGTTGTAAAAAAAGAATCGTTTATTTTAATATTAAATAAAATTCACTATTAATTATTAAATTACGTGTTTACATAAAAAATGAACAAAAGACACGTATTAGTAATAGCACTATTCATTATCGATAAAGGTTTTTTTAGCTTGTGCAGGTAAAGATTTGTTATTTTCTCATTTTATTATTTTTAATTTTTATAAGAAATCAACCATATGAATCTTCCGAATCCTCCGAATCTTCCCTGAATCTATCGATTCTTCCGATTCTTCCGAATCTTCTGAATCTTCCGAGTCTTCCAAGTCTTCCGAATCTTCCGAATCTTTTGAGTCTTCCGAGTCTTCCGAATCTTCTGAGTCCTCCGAATCTTCTGAATTCTTTAAATATCCTGATTCTCCTAGATCATATAAATTCTGAAATTTCACCTTTTCTAGTGAATCCTCTTCGATTTTCTTTAATTGTACCAAAAATGCGGAATGACTTGATGGCATATAAGCGGGCTTACAAACATAAGCTAAAGCTTTTTCGGGTATTTTATTATCCATTATCAACTTATTTACTGAAAAAGGAACATTCTCACCCATTTTACTTCTAATAACAGTAGCTCTAACTTCCCATGGCCTCCACTGAACTTCTAACACTTGAATAGTAGCCAATTTAAATTTATTTTCTCTGATAATTTTAATTAACTCTAATATTTGAGTAATATTTGGCAAATAACATATAATGAACCCATCTAATTTTAATTTTGGCATAATCCAAGATAATTCTAACCAAGGTTCTGGCATATCTAATACTACACCATCATATTTTTCTGCACTTCCGGGTAAAGAACTTAATATATTAGAACAAGAACCTGTACTAAAGGTTATGTTATCGTAATATATTCCTCGAAAATATTGTCTAATATTTTTCTGAGCCTTATGAATACTATCTGAATTTATATCTATTGTATGTATATGACCTGTCGGGTATATTGCTCTTGCTAAATACAAAGTTAAAGATCCATTTCCCGTACCTGCCTCTAATATTCTTGAATATGGATGTAAATCAAGAAGCGCAACCTAGTATAAAGGAAGGGAAGTTATGAATTTATTTGTATGTAAATTTGAGCGCGTGTTAAGGAAAAAAAAAATAATACTATTGTGTTAGCGTCTTTTGGATATATTGGCGTGGTATGTCGTGAAATCTTTAATATATATCTAAAATTAATTAAAATTAGATTGACTTAATTAAAACAGCGAAAGTTATTTAAGGTATCTGAACTTACTCATCCAGAGTTGGAAAATGAAGCGTAAAAGATTTTTCTAGATCAAAAGAATTTTTTTGCACTTGAGAAGAATTTAATAACTTTGTAAGAAATTCTTTGCTTGATAAAATACCTTTATTGGTTTTAACAATAGAACGTACGGATTTTCCAATTATAGAATCATGACAAAATATTTCACCATACTTTTCAGTTTTTGAACCTTTGATTAAAGGTCCTACTAATGCTATCCTTGGACCTTTAATTTTTTTCGTTGTATCACGTAATATTACAGTATCTCCTTCTAAAAACTTTGTTCTATCAAATTTTTCAGGTGCAACTTTTGTAGTATCAACGATTGTTCGCATTGAATAGGAAAGTCTAGCATTTTGATAAAGTTTTAGATTTGAATTTCTGTAAAACATTTAAGGACGGATATCAGTAAATACCTGTATATTTAATCAGCATGCAGCAATTGTGTAACATATCCATAAAAATATATAAGGATCTTTGTTCCCTCAAAAACAACAAACTTTTCAATTATTATAATTTTATCACATTTTAATTGCGCTGAAACATGGTCTGTAAAAAATGTAGGTAGTTATAGATTCTTTTAAATTCTAATTTATAGCTCTAACTTTGTTATTATATTTAAAGGTGAAAAAAAATTAGGAAAAGTAATCTGTCCTGACAAATGGAAAGATGGATCAAGAAATACAGCAGGTATGCAAATATATTTTTACTTTATGATTTGATTCACTTAATCTTATTACGAACTAACCCAATTTTTTAAATGCCTTAAAAGTCGGAACTGACAGAAAACTACACGAAAACAAGTTGTTAAGTAAACCCGGAAAGAATCGGTACGTTACAAAATAATTAGTTTAAATTAATTTCTTTTTGCTTTACAAGTGTTTTTAACGTTTAATTTTTTTTTTATATTATCAGATTTAAACCATACGAAAACAAATGTAAAATTTGCAAATCTCGAGTACATCAAGAGCATTCACATTATTGTCAAGGTAATTGATTTTTTGTTTATTTAGAATATTATCTATTTTTTATACATACTTTTTTTTCTTTTTATTTAAATACACGGGTTAAATCTTCGTTGGGTTTCATGTTAAGGTATTGGAGGCATCTTATCGTACAACATGTAGTTAGTCAACTGATAAAAGTATTCTCACGTGTTTAGAATTTTTCACAGATAGCTTTTTTTATTTTTCCAATTTGTAATTAAGTAGAAAGGAAATTTTCTAACTCTTTATATTTATATTTTTAGGATGTGCTTATAAACAAGGAATTTGTGCTATGTGCGGTAAACAAATTCTTGATACTTCAATGTACAAGCAAAGTTCCAAATAAATTATAGTTTACCAGTTATGGCATGTATTGGAACTCCTTCATATATTGACCATCAGTTAATATAAGTTCAGGAGGAGGTTGGTTATAATATGAAATCTAGTTATTAATTAGAATTCACGATAGTTGAGAATTACCCGTTACCAGATCACTTTGTTATTATCAATGATAAATGCAATTCTCCTTTTTTCAATCTTTTGCTAAATTCAATTCAGATATTAATTTTATATAATATCGTCATATGTGTATTGCTTGAATCTTATCTAGAATAAATTTCTTTTTTTTTCTCGCTTTTTTTTTTTTTAAAAAAAAAATTGTTCTAATGTGAAATTCACTTTTATGCCCTATAAAAAAATTCTGGAAAAACTCTGATAAATGATCATTTTTCTAGTTTTATTCTGAAGAAACTCAGACACGTGATCACTGTTATAAGGAACGGTTTTAGTTAGTTATTTTATTTATTATGGAACTTAGAAAATACTTGATGAGTTTCTCCGTTACTATATTTAGTCATGAAAAGTTGAATATAAATAAAATTCTCACGATCACATGATATTAAATCATTCGCGTCTATCAGGTGTTCGTGTTGTTGGGAGAACTTCTTTTCTCCGAGTTCAATTCATTATCTTTGACTTTCGCTTTGGTTTCAGTTTCTGATAATATTTCGAATTGTTATAATTTATTTTCGCAATGTTGAACGTTGGAATTTCATGCTTAAGATCATGCTTAAGACAAGCAGATTTTAAAAATGCTGCTCGAAATTTGTCTCTAAGAGCCATGTCTGTCAAAGCTTCAAGTATGTTTTTCTTTTACCGTTTTTCATTGATTGTGAATTTATCGTTTTAATTTCATTTTTTGTTATTAGGCATAGCAAAAAAATATAATTGGGAAGATCCACTTTTGTTAGAGTCTCAGCTTACAGACGAAGAAAAAGCTATAAGGTAACGTTATATACTTTTGTTTTACGCTATAATATTTTTATAAATAATCAATTATTTAACTCTTTTAGAGATACTGCACGAGAATATTGTCAAGAAAAACTTTTCCCCCGAGTTTTAGAAGCTTATCGACAAGAAAGTATGTTGCAATATAGGAAAACACTATATTAACTAATTTATGCTAATATGCTTAAAATATTTTAATAGAATTCGATCGTGAAATTCTTAACGAAATGGGGTCTTTGGGTCTACTGGGATCCACTATTCAGGGTTATGGCTGCGCCGGCGTTTCTTCAGTCGCGTATGGTCTTATTGCTCGTGAAGTGGAAAGGTATGCGTTATTAAAACTTTTTTTTTTAATATGGCTATTTCATAATCATTTTTGATTTCTGAATCTACCTATTTAGAGTAGATAGCGGGTATCGATCCGCTATGAGCGTACAATCATCACTTGTTATGCATCCTATTGATGCTTATGGTACTGAGGAGCAGAAACAAAAATATTTGCCTAAATTAGGTGATTCTTAGTATAATATTGACAAACGCGTTTAAGCTAGTATTTTAACACATTTTGTACTTTTTGCAGCAACTGGTGAACTTGTTGGTGCTTTTGGATTGACAGAACCTAATCATGGTTCTGATCCGGCTAATATGGAAACATATGCACAAAAAGTAAATGGGGGATATATTTTACATGGATCAAAGACTTGGATTACAAATTCACCGATCGCTGATGTTTTTATTGTTTGGGCAAAGTCAAAAGAAGATAAAAAAATTCGTGGGTTCATATTGGAAAAAGTATACCAATGCTTGCAAATTAATTAATAGATTTATTGACAATTTTGATTAAAATATTTTCTTTCGTAATGAAGGGAATGAAAGGACTTTCGGCTCCAACAATTAAAGGTAAGTTGTCTCTTCGAGCTTCTATAACAGGAATGATCATGATGGATAATGTGCAAGTGCCCGAAGAGAATTTATTCCCAAATGTCGAAGGTTTAAAAGTACGCAAATATAAATAGATTTAAATTACTTGTTCAAATTTGTTTTGATTTTTACTTTCTATATCTAATTTTTAGGGACCATTCGGTTGTTTGAATAATGCACGTTATGGAATTTCTTGGGGCGTTCTCGGATCATCCGAATTTTGTTTAGCCCAAGCTCGAGATTATGCCCTTGGCCGTCACCAATTCGGGTCGCCATTAGCTAGATTTCAATTAATTCAAAAAAAATTTGCCGACGCTAGTACTGAGGTTCGGTGATATATTCATTGTTTCAAACTAGTTTGTAATTTTGGTAACCTTAGTTTTTTTTTAAAAAAAATAGATTGCTATCGGTCTTCAAGCTTGTCTTCAGGTAGGCCGATTAAAAGACGAAGGTAAAGTAGCACCTGAAATGATTTCTCTTGTAAAACGTAATTCCTGTGGCAAAGCTTTGGATATTGCACGTTCAATGAGAGATGTTTTAGGTGGTAATGGTATAAGTGATGAATATCATATTATTAGACATGAGCAGAATTTATGTACAACAAATACTTATGAAGGTAAATTATTTTATTAATTTCATGATTTAATTCTATTTTGGATTAGCTTTAATTTTTTAAATAATATTAGGAACGCATGATATTCATGCTCTCATTTTGGGAAGAGCCATTACGGGAATTCAAGCATTTACAGCTTAAATAAATAAGTTATAATTAATTTTTAAGATATTTATTTTTATTTAATAAATTAAACAATTTTATAGTTAGAATGAGTTTGATGTAGGATAAATTTTCTAGCAAAATCCTTCCAGATTAAGTAAAAAAAAAAAAAAATTTGATCCGGTTTAATTAACTAAATTTAGAATCTAATATAGTAATAATAAAGGGATTCCAAGTATATAAAAAGGGTTTGCTCTCTGTAGTGCGTTTATTAAATTTTTTTTTTGCGCATAAGTGCACGATGAATCTCAATAAGATGAACTCGTTAATAGATGTTCGATTAGATTCACCGCGTACTTATTACCTTTAATAAGCATGGCATTACTATGATATTTATTACCTAAATAAAATTGATGAAATATTTTAACGAAATACAAAAAGACATCTCATCAAGTCATATTAACATAAGCATATTTTTTTTAAGAGGTGTAAATGATCTGGTGATGTATACCTCTTAATTTTGGTCATAGTGTCTATTTATAATTACGATATTATAATATCGGGAAAAATATTGTAACTCACATTGACACATTTGCACCTTTTTTTGATATATAAATAGAATTTTTCTTTATTTCTAATAATATATACAAATGATGAAGAACATAGTAAATTACCCCCGGAAAAAAAATTTGTAATTCACTTAATCTAAATTATGAAAACTTAATTTTTTTTTTTTTTTTTTT